CCCAGCACTTTGAGAGGCTGAGGCAGGCGGATCACGAGGTCAAGAAATCGAAACCATCCTGGCCAACATAGTGAAACCCCATCTCTACTAAAAATACAAAAATTAGCTGGGCGTGCCTGTAAATTAGCTGGGCGTGCCTGTAATCCCAGCTACTCAGGAGGCTGAGGCAGGAGAATCGCTTGAACCCGGGAGGCTGAGACTGCAGTGAGCTGAGATTGCACCACTGCACTCCACCCTGGTGACAAAGCGGCGAGACTCCGTCTCAAAAAAAAAAAAAAAAAAAAATTCTTGCTGACTGGACTCAACTGTCCAAATGGAAATTCAATGAATTGGGGCCTAGACTCTACTTTTTTTAACTAAGGTCTTTTTGGAGGGAGGAAAGGGAATGGCAACATTTATTTTCCTTAAATATTGCTGATGAATCCATAAACAAGAAGGATCAGCCTTGCTAACTTTTTCTGAAGCAATACATCTAAATATGAATCAGATGCTGGGGCTCTAATGGAAAGCCTAAAAATGTGGACAAGGGCTGGGGAATGAGAAAAGCAGAATGCTATATAATATCCTAAAAGCCATTATTATTTCAATTTATTTCCTATCTTAGTCTGACAATTAGGTGGCAAATGACTTTTCACATAAAAATCAGGGCAAGGTCTTTCCTCTTCCTCTATTAAGCTTCCTTTGAGAGTTACACACAAAGTCATGCCCAGTGAACCATCACAACATCCTAGGAAGATCCTGTGTATATGTGCTCACAAGTACATTTAATTGCATGTTCCTACTCCTTCAGATTAGCCTCCTGCAAAGTTAACTCATTTAATCTCCAAAGAATACAGTCATTATTGAGCAAAAGAGGATGAGGATCAGCTGAAAATTGCAATCAGGGAGAAGCTTCAGGTTTATTTCATAAAGATAGAAATGACACCAGAAACTCTACCAGCTTTGCCCAGGTCAGAAAAGTTGAATTTATTTCCAAAGACTCTTAAACTGTGGGTTCTTTAAAATTTTAATGCTTACCACCCCCACCCCACACACATATACAATAATTAGAGGAGTTATTGACATCTGTTTGTGCGTGATAAGAACTATAGTAATATTCAAATATAATTTATTTGAGTACAAGAGTGGACCTCTATCCAACAAGTATTTGTTAAGCATCTACTATGTTGGGGATAGAACAGTGAACCAGACACAATTCCTTCCCTCAGTCAAGGAACTGCCCCTTCCCAATCAAGTGCCTTCTATCAATGTCCAAGACAGGTAAGTAAGCAGTCTTGTAACTAAACTGTGGGATGACAGAACTCTTGTTTACTCGTAATTATTGACATCCAAGGAAATCTCAGCCTACTCTAAAGCTGATTGTAAATTTCATAATTCCTGCTCTACACAGTCTCCTTCTCTCTTTAAACATCAAGTCTAATGTCATTAGCCAAGTTACATGACCTAACTTGCTGGTTTAATGCCATTTTACACCCCCTTCTTCATTACTGAAGTTAAAAGGCTTAGTCTTAAAGTCAAACTAGACATTACTGGATGGTCCCTATGATTAAAAACCCACCTAGGCCGGGCATGGTGGCTCATGCCTATAGTCTCAGCACTATGGGAGGCCGAGGTGGGCGGATCACTTGAGGTCAGGAGTTGGATACCAACCTGACCAACATGGTAAAACCCCATCTCTACTAAAAATACAAAAAAATTAGCCGGGTGTGGTAGTGCACACCTGTAATTCCAGCTACTCCGGAAGCTGAGGCAGGAGAATCACTTGAACCCAGGAGGTGGAGGTTGCAGTGAGCCGAGATTGAGCCACTGCACTCCAGACTGGGTGACAGAGCAAGACTCTGTCTCAAAAAAACCAAACCAAACCAAACCAAAACAAACAAAAAAATACCCCACCTTATTAACTAGTTCTTTAATTCACCAAAACTCTTCAAAGAGCACAGGCATCTCTTGTGCAGGAAGAAAGCAGTTGGTTCCATTTGGGGCTGTCATACAGGGCTGTTTTCCAGGAGACGTCATGTGGGACAAGTCCCAGGGTAAGCATGAGGTTGGGTTTGGGATCACAAAATACATATAGAATAAGCTAGGACTTCAAGGTCTGAGATCACTGAAAAAGACCAAGAAAATACCTGGGTCCTGGAACATACTGGATACATACCATCTCCCAAAGATCATTAAGAAGACTTAAAGTTCTAGAAAGACAAAAAATGGGTATTCAGTTTTAAAACTCAGAAAGTACAAAAATAAGCAACAGCACTGGCCTTTGAAGAACATATCCTCCAACAGTTGTTCTTAACCTGTTTTCATGTTCACTATTATGATAAGCTATTTTTGAAACCCTGACCCAGAGTGGAGATTCAAAGTAAGAAATTATTTTCCTTCCTTAAGTGGTTTATCTGGTCTAGAAGTAATCCCTAAAAGAGGAAGAGACCTGTTCATTAACTCTCATAACTACTCCAGAGCTCCATATCAGAATTTTAGAAGAAAAACTTCAAAAGTAAAATGGAGAAGCAAAAATTATTGCCCAGCTTTAGTTCTCAATCTGGCTCACATCTCCAACTGTGCAGATTACTGTTAATGAAACTGCGATTCAGCACTAGTCTATACTGAGTACTGCTCCAAAGGCACAGGGTAAATATTGCTGACAATACTTCTAAGTGCTCTAATGAGTAGAGGTCAAGAGATGAATAATTCCTTAACTGAGCATGATGCTGTTACAGGTGGAGGGCATGCTTAATCTGGTAATCACTTATAGGAAATGTGGGTAATTTCTCTCGGGTGAATAAGCCCTGTTACTCATAAGCCACCCTACTGGGCAGTGCTCAAGAGAATAGGCACTATAGAACTCCTCATTTAGGTCTGGCACACATCCACATTCTCTAGATGACCTCCCTCCTCCCCTCTTTTCCCCATAAAAGTAATGAAATAATGGCTGATGGCATGATGTAAGCAGCATCATAGTGGAAGGTGTAACCTGGGCTTTGGAGTTAGATCTAGGTTTGAATTCTGGTATACTCTACTACATAGCTGAGAACACTCATTTCATTACAGTGTTGTTATTATTAGAGACAGGGTCTCACTCTGCCACCCAAGCTGGAGTGCAGTGGCATGATCTTGGCTCAACCTCCCAGGCTCAAGTAATCCTTCCCCCTCAGCACCCCTGAGTAGCTGGGACTACAGGCATGCGCCACCATCCCTGGCTAATCTTTGTGTATATGTGTGTGTGTATATACATATATACGAGTATATATACACGTGTATGTGTGTATATACACACACACACATATATATGTATACATATGTAATGTGTGTATATATATATTTTTTGGTAGAGACAGAGTTTCACCATATTGGCCAGGCTGGTCACCAACTCCTGAGCTCAAGCGATCTGCCAGCCTTGGCTTCTCAAAGTGCTGGGATTAAGGTGTGTGCCACTGTGTTCTGCTTTTATCTGCTCCTGAAAGCTGGGGTGTGCTGTAGTAAACTTAGAAACAGGAAATACAGAACAGCCATTTTCTCCTGCTGATCACACTCCCTGCCAGTTTTCTACTACTTGGCCCACCTATCGCCTTGCCAGATGCCTTCCCAGCTGTAATAAGCCCTGTTTCCCAAGACTCAGTCATAGCCATAACCAATGTTTTCCCTAGAAATGGCTCTTACAAAGTCTCAGGAAAGCTCAAGTTAGACAACAACCTTTTTTTTTCAATAGACAGGGTCTCACTCTTGTCATCCAGGCGGGAGTGCAGTGGCACAATCACAGCTCACTACCGCCTCAGCCTCCAGAGTATCCGAGACTACAAGCACACACCACCATGCCCACTTATTTTTTTTGTAGAGATGGGGATCTGACTTTGTTGCCCAGACTGGTCTTAAACTCCTGGCTTCAAGTGATCCTTCTGCCTTGGCCTTCCAAAGTGCTGGAATTACAGGCATGAGCCACCATGCCCAGCCTAGACCACAACCCTTATTCAGCTGGTCTGCCCCAGGGAGCCTTCATCTAACAGAGCCAACATTGTCCTCTCCATACACTTAGGTTTGTATTTGCTACTCGGTTTTTATATTAATCACCTTTCACATCCATTTATATGCAAAGTTAATAGAAATAAAGGATGCAATTTATTATCAATGATGGTTCATAATAATCATTTAGGCACTTGTAGAATGAAAACTACTAAGGTTTCTAGGACTAAAAGAAGAAATACTAAAGTGATACACTTAGTACCACCAAAGCCACTGCATTTTTTGAGGTGTAAATTTCACAAGGTCTGCCTAATTTAGATGACAAATTAAGGCTCAAATTTTAAGGATGAATAGCTATTTCATTGATCTCACATGGCTCACTAGGCAACAGATTCCCATTTAAAAGGGGTAATTGAGTTTAATGGGATGCTAACTATAAGGGGCTGAGTAGGATTAAGGGAAACCAAGTCAAGATATCCAGTCAGCAGTGTCCAGTGGAAATTTCTGTAACAATGAAATGTTCTACATCTACATTGTCTAATACAGTAGCCAAAGCCCCACGTAGTTATTAAGCCCTTAAAATGTGGTTAATGTGACTAGGCCACTGAATTTATTAATTTGTTTAAATAGTCACATATTGCTAATAGCTACATTGGACAGTACAGTTCAGGTCTAGCAAAGAGCCATCACAGCTCCTAGGCCTGAAGAGGTGAAGTAAAGAAACAATTACTGAAACCTGGGGTGATGCAGAAGTAGAATTCTATCTTACAGGAAAGGATTACATGACAGGAGCTGTAGCCTTTGACAGAAGAATGCTGCCACTGCCAACTTGCAAACCAGCAGACGAGGAATTGTGAATAAATACCAACTCACTCTTCTTCTTGCCCCCATTCCCCTCTGGTGCCTCTGACTGGTGGAATTCAATCAAAAAGTAAAGAGAGCTCCTTGATATAGTCCATAAAGGTCAGCCTCTTGGAGCACAGAACAGTGAAAGGTGGAGAGTATACCTGGAACAAAACATTATTATACCCCGTGCAAAATGAATTGAGGCATCAAACATTTGCTTTATTGGCACTTATAAATCTAAATAAATATGGAACCAATGGCAAAATATTTAAAAAGTATGTTGTTAAAGAAAGTCCTACAAGTGTTTCCTGTTGTTAAAACTATTCAAGTTTTCTGTTGCAAGAAACAGGACGTTTTAATTAAACTGTGACTGTGTTCATTTCAGGTTTCCTACATGAAGAATTAGGTCAATACTATGCTCCTTCAACTATATTCAACCAAGGATCTGCATGAAACTTTTTCTAAGATACCATCTCAAATCACAAGGCCTGGGATTGGGAAATTTTTTTACTTTACTAAAGACCACTGTAACTCAATAAATAAACTTAGATTAGAAAATTAGAGGAAGACCAATACTACTCTATGGTCACTGTCTTCAGCTGTTTTCTGTAATGACTGTTTCTAGGTATTTTACCAACCTTTTTCACTTTTAGCACTGAATAGTGCTAAGGGGAAAAAAGGATGGGGAAGGGAGGAGTGGCAATATCTATAGCTACAGGGTCGTCCTATTTGTGGAAAACTTTATTGTCTACTTTCGTGGGTCCTGAATATGAGTCCAGTCCTTCCTGCCCAGCACTTAAGGAAGAAAGGTCTAATGTGACTGTATGGGGGTTGAAGTAGGTACCAAAGGAAAAGCAGTTCCCACCACCTCCAAGGAGCAGGAGCTGTTGCTCTTCAGGAAGAAGGATGCTCGTATGGTTGTGTAACATTAATGGCCATGGCACATAGGTTGTGTCAATCTGATACTCAGAGCTCAATCCTGTAGTCAAATTGATAACAGTCACTCCAGGAAATGAGGAGGAATGAATCCAGACCCCTCCAACCAGTAACAGCTTTCCATTGAGCACATGAGCTGTGTGGGAGTACCTTGGGGTAATGGGAGGCTGGATATCTATTGACTCCCAGAGGAATCCACAAGAGGTTGGTCTCAGAAAGAGCACAGAGTTCAATGGCTCCTCAGAAGCCCCGAGACCTCCAGCAATAACGGCTCCCCCTTGCCAAGTGCAGGCACTGTGAGAATGCCGGGCTTGAGGCACTTCTCCCTCCACTGGGATCCTGACCCAAGCCACTGTCTCTACATGTAGGAAATGCCAGTCACTTAGTACAGGTTCCACCACACTTCGACCCCCATACACAAACAAATATTCCTGATTCTGATAGGACACTTCTGTTGTTGAATGCCGCCAACAAGACAAAGTGGAATCGTCCTTTCGGCCGGCCTTTGTTATTGTCACTTTCAGGTCCTGAGTGTTATTATCCTCACTATTACAAAAATGAAGCTGGAGAACCCCCAAGGCCGGACTTACTGGGGACAGTCTCCCTCCCAGAACCAGAACCCGACTCTCTGAGAGTCTTGTCATGGTGTGATAAAGGCGTCCATCCCACTGAACTCCAGTCCCACAACCGCCTATTTGGCTGCCTTTCCATTCCGAGTCACCATCTCTTGAGAGCAAGTGAAACTGGCTCACTCGACAGTGCCGCCCCTCCTGCTCTCCAAACCCTCCTGCACTGAGAATTACGTCCGGGCTCAAGAGGACAGAGGCGTGGCCATATCTCTTCAGGTTTGGGACCTGGCCCTCGCTACTGACGACACTGGCAGGGAATACCCCCGAAGGCGGAGCAGGATTTAGGCGAGGAAATGCCTCTGAAGATGGAAACACTAGGGTGTGGGAGAGGGTGTCTCCCCTAGAAGCTGCCAGAATGAAATAATGGGCGCACTTCAGATGCCACTCCTCAAATTCGTCAAAGGGTTCAATATTTTCCACCCGCCGGCGCTCTTCTGCGGGGAGAAAGCAGCGATAGAATTCATTCATGTCCACGGCACCACAGGCAGTCCAGCCAGCTTGAAGGAAGCGGCGCCGCTGCGCCTCCACGTCAGGAAAGCGCTCCAGGCCATGCAGGGGGGAGTTTAGCTGCCGAAAATGTTGCAGCATGAACTGGCCAAAGGCGTCTTGAGGCCTCATCTGCTCATAGACCACGAAAAGGGCATTAGGAAAACGCTGCGCTGCCCAGGCGATGAGGGCCGCGGCACTCTCCGTCTCGAGGTAGGTCAGCACCGCCTCGGCCAGGAGCAGAGTGGGTGAGGCTGCGTCGAGCCCCGCGGCGCCCAGGGCCTCGTCCACTCGCTGGAGCTGCCGCAGGTCCAGGCCCAGGATGCAGTAGTCTGCGCTCTCAAAGCACAGCGCTGACGCGGGCTCCCCACGCCGGAAAGGCCCGGTTAACGCGCACAGCTCTGGCGTCTCTCCAATCCTCTCTGCTTTGCGCCGCGCCACGTCCGGAAAATCCACCTCCCAGACTGCAGCCCGAGCCAGGCGGCCCGCAGTTTTCAAGCGAAAGTAGAGCGAGTCGAACCCGGCGCCTAGAGACACGATCTGCGCGCGACGCGCAGCATGGGGCGCGCCAGTCTGCTCCAAGAAAGCGCGCACGCAGTGCCTCACGGCGCGTGCGCGGATGTAGTAACCTCGGTGAATGAGTGGTGCGCGGCGCGCCGCGCCCGGAACCAGCAACGCGGCAAAGGGGTCCTGCACGTACCCGCGCGCGGCCAGGGAACGCTTGCTGAGGGCGCTGCTGTCGTTGGTGCTCTGTACCGCGCCTGCCCGACGTTCGCGGCTCCGGGGGCCCATAGCCAGAAAAGATCAGGAATGGCAGTCTGTCACGGTTGTGAGCCTCCCCTTGGTTAGCATAGTACACCCCTCATTCACCTCGGTAGGGAGAAAAATCACCCATGCTCCTGGACTTCCCCTTCCGCCGGCACTTGTGCGTCACTTCCGGGAAGAGCGCATCTCGCCAACCAGAATTGAGGAGGGTGTAGCCTGTGCTAAGTTCGCTTGCGGCTGACCTTTCTTTGATTGTCCTGAGTTCCGTTTGCCTCAGAATACGTCCCGCTACCGCTATAATATGTTTGTTAGAGAAGGCGGATTGTCACGTTTCTACAAGCCTTTCATTCAGAAGGGAAACCTTGCCTAAGTCCTCGTAGTTGAGAAATCTCTTAAGAGGTGAGTCTGTGGGGACTGACGACCTGGCTTCCTTGGACCGCTAAGGAAGGATCTGGTAGGAGCTAAGAAGGGTCGGCACCACGGACCTTCTGTGGGCAAGGATTAGTTAGCTTCCTTGGGTGCTAATAGTTGCTGATTTATTTAATGCTCTCACAGTTGCAAAAGAGAACCCATTTAAATCTGAAGTCACTAAGGCCAGGGTGCAAACTGAAGAAACCAGCCTTTACAAATAATCTATAGACACTTAACAAGAAAACGTCTCCCCACAGATATTAGACTGTTGATTCCCTGCCCTGTGTTAGACTGACAGTGAATAAGCCACTCAGCCTCTCTTTCTCATCACACCTCCTTCCACTTGGAGAATTCTGTGGATTTTAAAGTAGTGTTGAATATGTCCCCAGAAAGGGGAGTCACTGAAGAGAAGTAATTGTTCCCTGTGATATGTTCTGAGCTTTCTTTTTAAGGAGTAAATCCAGGTTGGACTTCAAAATAATCATAAAGTTTCTAAATTGGGTGTCTGGGAGTCATCCCTAGGTAACCACTTCCAGAGACATTTAGGAAATTTATCATTTGTTCACTGGGATTTGGTGACTGACTGGCTGAAATAGAAAAGGAAATCAAATAACTTTATGGTTAACTACAGGTGGTACTGCATAATGGTTAAGAGCATGAGTTTTGGAGTCAAGAAAAAGTTTCGTATTTTCCAATGTTTTCTTGTGGAATAAAATGAAGTAAGAAAGAAAAGGTATGGATCAGGATAAAGATTTGGTAATTGAAAAGTGGCATTTAGATTTGGTGTTGAAAGACTCATTAATGACCTTAGGGAGAGCAGTTTCTGTGAAGCAATGAGGGCAGAATCCATGTTTCAGTGACTAGGAGTTAAGTTAAAGGAAGTATCCAGTCTAAATTATTATACTTTTGAGGAGCTTAACTCAGAAGGAAAAAAGGGTCAGGGCAGTGGCTAAAGAAGAATGTGGGATAAAAGAGTCTTTTGTTCTGTTTTCAGGTGGAAGCAAGTACTGCACATGCATGTTGGTCCTGTGAGGGAAATCAGCCAGTGGAGAGGGAGAGGTTGAAAGAACAGAAAAAGGAGAAGATAACTCACTGGTAGAGTAACTTGGAATAGATAGAAATGGGATCCTGGGCACGTATTAGTTGTGGGGATAGAAGAATGAATCCTTTGTCTGTGACTCCTGGCGGGGTTAAAAAAAAAAAAAAAAAAAAAAAAGATTATGGATAATCATAAGCTCAGGTGTGAGGTAGGGCAGAGAGAAAAAGAAGAAATTTACACCTGACGCCTTCTTTTTTCTCTGTAAAGTTGGTGGCAGAGTTGTCAGTTTAGTGTAAGGTGGTTCGATCGGATGAAACATTTGAGGAGTTTGAGAATTGCTTCTACAGGGATTAGAAGAAGGGCTCACCTATGCCTGCTGGATCGTTGGATCCTCACCCCTAAAATGAGATTAAGTACTGCTTTGTGAGGTATCTCAGGGTTGATTGAGGGGCAAATAGAAAAAAAAAAAAGTTGAAGGACTTTGAAAAATACATAGCACTATAGAAACAAATGTATTTAATGACAAGTTCCTAAAATTTAGATGTTATGTCAAAAATACTGCTTGTTTTGCAAAGACCAGATCAAGAAAAGTAATTCAAGAAGAAACAGAATGGAGCAAAATTTGTGATTTGGATGCTTTATGATTTACGACGGGGGGGGGGCGTTTAAATCTCAATTTATTCTTATATAAAATGGGGATAATAATACCTCATGGGTTGTTGTGAGGATTTAAACTACCACAGTGCTTGGCTCATGGTAAGTGAATAATAAACAGTAACAAATATTTTTATTATTCTGAGTTCCCTTTTGGGGGATTAGGTGGGAGCATGAAAAAAGTTCCCTGGGAGACGATACTTGCTTCTGGCCCTGCTCTAATATTGATGAAGTATTACTAATGTGGATCTTATCCCAGTGTTTGTTGCCTTCTGTCCCAGACCAAAACCAGTCCAGAAAGTTTGGATTTGACATGGCATGTTATTGTTGGTAGCAGTGTTTTAGGCAAGGAACAAAAAAATTTTTTAATGTGTGAAGATTATGATTGCTTAGTTGCTTTTTAATTTCCATTGGTTAACTTTGTAGCCAGTGGGTCCGTAGTTTTACTCACAGCTAGTTAAAGGTCAGTCTGGAGGATGGTTTGAATGGGGCCCAAATTAAGGTCAGGATCCTGGAGTAAAACTGAAAATCTGGCCCAGCGGAGTGGCTCACTCCTGTAATCCCAGCTCAGGCTGGTGGATCACTTGAGCCGAGGAGTTTGAGACCAGCCTGGGCAACATGGTGAGACCTCATCTCTACAAAAAATTTTTTATATAAAATTAGCTGGGCATTGTGGTACCTGCCTGTGGTCCCTGCTACAGAGGAGGCAGAAGTGGGAGGATCGCTTGAGTCTGGAAGCTTGAGACTGCAGCAAGCTGTGATCATGACACTGCACTGCAGCCTGGGCAACAAAGTAAGATCCTGTCTCAAAAAAAAAAAAAGTATGTTTTTCTATTTTAATTAGGTCATTTATGTTTTTCAGTGGAGATATTAAGTGCCATTGATTAAGTAGTCCATCTTTTTCATTTTTTACTATTTATTAAATACTATGGCATTACTTTGAAATGCCACATTTATCTCATACTAAGTAGGCCTTTCTGTGGATTTCTATGGCTATGTTTAGTCCTGTACGAACTACTTTCTTTATTGTATATTTTAATATATTGGTAACTTATTTAACCCCACTCTATCAATTTATTGATTTTCAATACAGTAATATTTTGCAAAGTTATTTCAAGGATTAAAGATAATATTATTAAAAGTGCTTGTCACATACCTGGTAGGTTCTGAATACATGCAAACTGTTATTCTTAAATGTCATCATTATTAATATGTGACAACTCAGAGAGTCAAGGCGGCTACTTTGAAAATCACTGAATTTCGTTTGGAATTTTATCTTCACTTATAAACCACTTTCAGGGGTGAAGGGAAATTATGATTGATTTATCACCTACAGTGTGCTAGGCACTGTGCTAGGTGCTAGAGTGGTGGAGTAATTCATAGGACCTGTCCTCAAGGAACTTACAGTCTAGAGAGAGAGAAAGTATATCAGTGATTGAGATATCAGTGTGATTAAAAGCTGAGTTAAAGGCAGTGACTGGCTCATGTGGGAGCATAAATGAGGGGAATTTAAATTACTTTATTAATCATCACTGCCACTTTGCATTTTTAATCCCATTGTTGTAAATAAAGAAACTGAAGCCATGAAGGTAAGTGACTAAGACCACATAGCTTCAGACCTATAGAGCTGGTAAAAGGACAAACCTAGGTCCATCTGACGCCAGCACCTCTGTTCTTCCTTTATGTATTTTGAACAATTCAAAATTTAAAATTTTATTTTTGGCCAGGCATGTTGGCTCATGCCTGTAATCCTAGCACTTTGGGAGGCTGAGGCGGGGGAATCACTTGAGGTCAGGAGTTCGAGACCAGCCTGTCTCTACTAAAAATACAAAAATTAGCTGGGTGTGGTGGCGTGCACCTGTAATCCCAGCTACTTGGGAGGCTGAGGCAGGAGAATCGCTTGAACCCGGGAGGCACAGGCTGCAGTGAGCTGAGACCATGCCAGTGTACTCCAGCCTGGGTGACAGAGGGAGACTCTGTCTCAAAAAAAAAAAAATAAATAAAATAAAAAACTCTCTCTCTCCCTCTCTCTCCAAAGTAGGCCTTATAAAATTTTGAATTTTGAAGTCATTGTGTAGAAGGTGCCAATAGTTAAGGAATACACACTACTAAATGTCAGGTTTTAGTATACCTCTTACAGGTTTGAGGTCTTTTCCTGTTTCCAGTTTATGTTGTTTACTAATTATTTTCCCACCTTAGACACACTTAAGTTAGTTTTAGAGGGGCTTTTGCCTTTTAAAGAGAAAATTGGCAAAATCCTGTTCCTTTCCTTTTATGTTAACATCTGAAAATATTGACATTTGTTAAAATAGGTGAAGCTGAACCCAGATCTACACATACAGCTAATCTTGTCAAAATGTGTGAAAGTAAAGCAATCTGAAGGAAATTCAGTACCATGCAATGCACTGACTGAAATACATCACATTGCTCATACCAAGAATAAGAGTGGAGAACGACCATTTTTTTCCTGCTAAAATGGTGGAGGCAGAAAAGCAACAGCCATGGAAGACAGACTTCTATTCTGAATTGCCAAAAGTGGTGAGAATTCAACTACAGATATCTTGAGTGGTTGCTAATTGTAATGACTTTTATGTTGCTTCTTTTCATCAAAGTAAATTTTGGCTGGGTACAGTGGCTCATGCCTGAAATTCCAGCACTTTAGGAGGCCAAGGCGGTGGATCTCCTGAGGTCAGGAGTTTGAGACCAGCCTGGCCAACATGGCAAAACCCCATCTCTACTAAAAATACAGAAATTCACTGGGCTTGGTGGCATGCCTGAAGTCCCAGCTACTCAGGAGGCTGAGGCAGGAGAATCGCTTGAACCTGAGAGGCGGAGGTTGCAGTGAGCTGAGATCACACCAGTGTACTCCAGCCTGGGTGACAGAGTGAGACTGCATCTCAAAAATAGAAAAAGTAAATTTTGTAGGCAAAATTTGTAAACTTTGTTATGTAGCTAAATCTGGCAAGCAATTTGCCTAGTGCAAACTACAAACGTCAGGTATCTAGTATGATGCTATGAATCTATTGGATATTTGGTAAGTTTTACTGGTTGTATCTCTTGTCTTAGGAACTTCATGCCCACTTGAATGGATCCATTAGTTCTCATACCATGAGGAAATTAATA